TTGATCACTGATTCAATTTCTTCACTCGTTATGGTCTGTTCAGGTTTTCTATTTCTTCCCGTGTGAATGTTAGTAGTGAGTGTGTGTTTAGGAATTTGTCCATTTCTTCTAAGTTGTCCAATTTGTTGGCATATAATTTTTCATAGTATTCCCTGATAATTGCTTGTATTTTTGAGGGGTTGGTTGTAATAAGTTCATTTTCATTCATAATTTTGTCTATATCGGTGCTCTCTCTTTTCTTTTTGATAAGTCTGGCTAGAGGTTTGTCAATTTTGTTTACTTTTTCAAAAAACCAACTCTTGGTTTCATTGATCTGTTCAATCGTTTCTTTGGTCTCTATGTTGTTTATTTCTGCTCTAATTTTTACTATTTCTTTTCTTCTACTGGGTTTAGGGCGTTCTTGTTGCTCTGCCTCTAGTTCCTTTAGGTGAGCTGTTAGATTTTGGACTTGCGCTTTTTCTAATCTCTTGAAATAGGCCTGGAGAGCAATGTACTTTCCTCTTAGGACTGCCTTGGCCGCATCCCATAGATTTTGAATTGTTGTGTTTTCATTTTCATTTGTTTCCATATATTTTTTAATTTCATCTCTAATTGCCTGATTGTCCCATTCCTTCTTTAGAAGGGTGTTCTTTAACCTCCATGTTTTTGGAGGTTTTCCAGACTTCTTCCTGTAATTGATTTCAAGTTTCAAAGCATTGTGATCTGACAGTGTGCATGGTATTGGAAAATTCTTCTAAAAGTATCTAAATAATAGAGAATTACATCTAATTTAACTGAAATCAACCAAGTCACAAGTACCTTAAAAGTCCTTCCTAAGGTAAAATCCAAATGCATCACTTGTAGGGATGAGCACTGGGTGTTATATGGAAACCAACTTGACAATAAACTATTTTTAAAAGAAAAGTCCTTCCTAAAGTAAAATCAATAAATGCATAACTAAATATGTCTTTAGCATATTCATGAGGCTTTTCATGGCAAGTTCACTAGAATGGTCATTGGTCAGGTGTTACAACAGGTTACAAATCATTGTGACCACGGAGGATGCAACAGGCACAAAAACTATGCAATCTCCCATACTACCAATATTAGGTTCTCACAACAATCTATATTAAGGCCCCATTTGGTAATAAGATTGGATTTGGCACCTTTCCTTGATCACAGTCACCTTAGCTTACTAGTTCTGTAAGCATCCCTCTGAACAAGTGCTCACCCAGCAGGCTCACCCTGGACTCTAATGGCCAGCAGACCCCTTTCCTGAGTCCTCCTCTATTAAAATGTCCATGACTCTATTCAGCAGAATATAGTGCTATGGAATGTTATTAGATAGTGTATTACATAAGCAGGCACACACACAAAGTGGTTCCTTGTGTAGAAAGATTGGTAAGTGTGTGTCTTCAATGTAGAACTTGAGAACTTTTAATAAATATATAGATCTTCCAGATGAGCCTATGGTGTGCTAAATTCCCTAAACTTCTTTATTTTTTTTGCAAAGTATCACATCCCAGGCCTATTGTTCAACAATCTACCCTTTTAGAATCTTCACAAAGCCCTTGACCTATGACCTCTGTTCTAGAAACCATATTGCACAATATGACTACCCTCTTTCGCCTAGCTTCCATTACAATAAGAACATACCTAAAGATTACAAAAGTCTTTGATACTTCATGCTAAGCACCTATTGCTTTTAAACTCATTCAAATATTTGTTGGAAATGAACAAAAGAAGTATTACAGTGTAGTGGCTACATGGCAGCAGGGCTTGGAAACTCCTGCATGGAATTAGTAGCATTGAAACCTTTCAATTTTCGATAACAACCTTGCCACTCCCAGACCAGCCCCAGACTATGTTGCCCAGAGTAAGTTAGGGGCCATTCAATAAACAGGCATGGCTTTGAAGATTTCAGATAACGGGGCGCCTGGGTGGCTCAGTCGGTTAAGCGTCTGACTTCGGCTCAGGTCATGATCTCACGGTTTGTGGGTTCAAGCCCCACGTCGGGCTCTGTGCTGACAGTTAGCTCAGAGCCTGGAGCCTGTTTGGGATTCTGTGTCTCCCTCTCTCTCTGACCCTCCCCTGCTCACGCTGTCTCTCTCTCTCAGAAATAAATGTTAAAAAAAAAAAAAAAAAGATTTCAGATCACAAAGAAGGTCCCAGCTCTCTCCTCTCCCATACCTTAGTCTTTCCTTATATTAGGGCTCCTTAACAGTTTGGGTTCAGCTTATTGCAGTTGTTTGGCTCTGCATACAACCTGCCCTCTCACTTTCTGTTGTTTGTTTTTTTTTAACATTTTATTTATTTCTGAGAGAGAGAGAGAGAGACAGCGTGAGAAGGGGAGGGTCAGAGAGAGAGGGAGACACAATCTGAAGCAGGCTCCAGGCTCTGAGCTAGCTGTCAGCACAGAGCCCGATGCAGGGCTCGAACCCACGAACCGTGAGATCATGCCCTGAGCTGAAGTCGGACGCTTAACCTATTGAGCCACCCAGGCACCCCATGCCCACTCACTTTCATCCCTGCTCTACTTCCCTACGATCAAGGCTAGCATAACACAGAGCTGGTGAAGAATAAAATCCATCCCTCAGTTCCTTTACCAACTCCAAACAATTTCCCTGATTCATCTCAGGTGGGTAAGATGGTGGCTTCCAGAACTGAGTTTAAAATTTAAGACAGAAGTGTCCCTTTATACATCAGGCAGAGGGCTAAACAAAGTTCTGAAACTTCTGGAACCCTAGCGAGTCTCCTGTATCCCAGTAACTTAACATAAGCACATGAGTTAAAATAACTTTTGGTGCCTGAGTTTTCCCACTTGCACAGAGAGACTACTGTTTTAATTTTTTTATAAGAATGTATTTATTAATCACTTTTGAAGTTAAAACTGAACAAAATAAGAGGAGAAACATTAAAGTATGTTATGCTATAAAATGATGGTCTAACTCTTAATGAATATGAAATCACAGGAAAATACTTGTTATCAAGCTGAGGTAAATAATTGCATTCAAAGACCACAACAGGATGTCACTAAATACAAGCCACCTCTGAAGAAAAGGCACAGAATTTCCCTCTCTCTCTCTCTCTTTTTTTTTTTTTTTGTCCCCAAGGCAGTCCTTATAGACTGAGGTAAGGGAATGAAAAAGGAATACTGATGGAAAAACACAGTTTTCCCACAGCTCTGAGGTTTTTACACAAAGAGTGTCTCTTTATATTGGGTTATAATCCCACCTGTTTTACTTTCTAGCTCTTTGTTTCCTAAATGTAATGTGGGGGAGATTGGACAAATAAGGACTAGGGCTTTTATTTCTAACATGTGAAGGTTTGGGTTCTGGACAGAAGTTACAATGTGAACAGACTTAAGGGCTATGTTCATGCATAGCAGTGTGTTCCAGTAAATGGAGTATAAAGTAGTGAGGCAGGCCTGGAGGATGAGAGTGGAAAGAACATCTATGTTATTTATTAAAATAAAGGAAACCTCAAGCCTCATCTTGTGATTTAAGAGGAAGTCAATCATGACCAGTTTGCATTTAACTTAATTCTTGGCTATATTTTAAATATAAAACTAATGTTGACAGATGAAGAAACAGAGTAGCTCTTTCCAAAGGAATTGTTAATCTCCCAAAAATGATGTACTGTTGTTACTGTTTTCAATAAAATCATGCTGCAATACAAACTATAACACCTTAACAAAAAAACAGAGCCAAAACAACAGAAGGAAGTATGAACTCATAGATCTGGAGAAGTGAAGAGATGTTTGTTCACCACCCGTGGTTCTCTGGTACTATAACATTTAATAGAATCAGAGTAATAGAATTGCTGTGCCATGTTCTTATGTCTTTTACACTAACTGAAATCCGGAAGCTCTAATGGATAAGGAAAATAAATTTAAAATAAAAGGTGTATGACCTGCTCTTGCATAAGATGAATTAAATGAAAATAGCTTGAACTAGGACCATTTCTTCCAGAACAAGTAACTCTCCCCTTCCAATACCCCCCTTTTTCTTTTTTTAAATAGTTTATTGTCAAGTTGGTTTCCATATAACACCCAGTGCTCATCCCCACAACCAATACCCCTTTCTGAAATAGAAGAACACCTATGCAACACAACTACATATGTATTATTTTCTATTTTAAAAAAAGGTAACTTGGGCTCTGCCAAGGGTAAAAAACAGAAATAGATTTTACTCCTGGCCAACAGCTCAAAGCATCCATGAGGGTAAAATTGAAGATGTGAAGATATTTTTGGAATTAGTGTACAGGCAGACACACCCCATTTACTTGAAAACCTAAGCCATAACAATAGCTTCTACACTGATAGTCTCTGTACCAAAAGCCCTGGAAAATCCCCAGTGACAATTTATCTTCCATTGTCTTTTGTCCTTAAATGTACATGGTGGATAATTGAGCTCAAATGGAAAAAAAATCAGGATATGAGCAGCCTGAATTCTTTTGGATTCTAAAACTAAGGATAATATTGAAAAGAATGCAAATGGGGGCACCTGGGTGGCTCAGTCAATTGAGCATCTGACTTCACCTCAGGTCATAATCTCACAGTTCATGAGTTCGAGTCCCACATTGGGCTCTGTGCTGACAGCTCAGAGTCTGGAGCCTGCTTCAGACTCTGTCTCTCTCGCTCTCTCTCTGCCCTTCCCCTGCTCGCTCGCATGCTCTCTGTCTCAAAAATAAACATTAAAATTTTTTTTAAAAGATTGCAAATATTTAAATGTCCTTAACATCTAGAGGTAAATGCAGCATCAGCTTATTCATTGGTATTTAGCTAAGAAAGCCAAGCTATGAATGTAGCAGGAGTATAATCAGAAAAAGAATACATTCTTCTGCCATGCCATAGACAGCGCATGGACACCAGTATGGCCTGGCAACAAAATTAATACAGCCACAGGTGCACAACTTGAATAGGGGCACATTGGATCAGAAAGAAGGTGGTTGTCTTCACTATTGTCCTATGCACTCCCAGGAAACACAAATAAAGATAAATGCATGTAGCTCTCCCTTACCTCCAACATAGGCCTGGCACTATCGTGGACAGACAGAATATGTGTCACCTTGTTCTTGCTCAGTTGCTCTGCATCTCTGGCATCTGTCATAGAAGAAAGAACACGAGCATTATGCTTCTCTGAAAATGACTTAGTCCTAAAGTTTAGCCAGAAAAAATACAAAATGACCTGCATATTTCTTTCTTGAAACTTCATAATTGGTCATACTCAATCTACAATAATCTAGATCTAGGGAAATTTAGGACTATTGCTTTAATGTATTTTGCAGATAACTAAATTTATTTCTGATTGGCAGATTTTTTTGATACAAAATGGTCACCTAAAACTTGACATATATTTGGATTAATAAACATTGTAATCATGATTGTTGCTGTTTAAAGGAAGTGAAACTAAGATCATTTTATAGTTGCCATTTGGTAACTTGTAGACCTTTAAGTTAGTCTTATATGAAACATTAACTATAAAGCTGTTTAATATGTATTAATATTAAAAATTACCTCTTAATAAGTAATAATCTAAGTTAAAATAAAATACAAAAGACTCACTCACTATGTAACATATAGGAACCTGCTAGGGATGACTTTACCCTTATGTTAAAGGCAGGGATGGGTTTAAATGCAGGTAAGACTGTGTTTTAGAATCAACAATTCACTTCAGGGCAAAAGTAAAAATGGAACATTTTCTGGAAATCCCAAACAGAATTTTCCACAAGTTATCAGTTGGTTATTAAATTATGTGCATACAAAACTAAGGAAACACCAAAATTACACTCTCTTCTAATGCTCCTACTTAAGTAGAAGAAAGACTGAATTCAGTCCTTGAGTTGGAACCGTTCTGCTAATCTACAAAACAGGGGTTCAGCAAGATACAATTCCCCCTATGCCCATGTCCTGACCTGAGACAAATTTTAAATGATATAGGGTAAAATGATAGAAGGTTAAAATAGACTGAAAGTCAAATGTTTATGTTTCTGGAAAATATTAATGATATAGGAAAATTCTTAGGATATAATGTTAAGCAGAGTGTAAATGCAGGTACCAAACAATAAGTAGAATATGAGCTCAATTTATAAAAGCATTATAAGACAAACATATATATGGAAAAATGCTATAAGGAATTAGCTCTAATAATGATAATCTTGAAAAGATGGAATTACATGTTTTAATATTTTTCTTTTTTATAGTTTTTTTTTGATATATTCAACATAGCTGGTTTTGAAAGCTTAGTATGAATAACCTAATATGTCTATGAACTATCTGGCGGGGGACTTGTTTGGGGCTCCAATTTAGTTTAAGGCAAGACTGAGGAATCTGCAGTTTTAATAAGCTTTGATGATTATGTAGAGACTGCAACACTTTCCTAAATATTTTGCACTTTCATAAATACGTACCACTTTAAAGTCAGAAAAAAATCTTTAAAAGTAATATTAAAATGTTGGCTTTAAGATTCTTTTCATCATTCCAACCATCTCCAGTTTCAAATTCAGACGTGCACAGCAGCCATATACACCACATATATGGGGATTCAATTCCAATCACCATCTCCCACTTTGCCCCCAACTATCACAAGTTTTGGCATCAGTGAATTTGAATTAAATAGGAACTAGAATCATTTAGGATCTCACTGGCAGCCAGCTTCCACATTCTCACCAACATGGAATTTTTCCAATCACCACTAGTATGTATGTTTTAGCCCAGTGGTATAGCAAGATCAGCCTGGAGATTTGGGTGCTCACAGAAGAGTCCAGACAAGGTGGGGCAACACTGGGTGGGAAGAGGCATAGCAGCTGGTAGAATGCTCCAAAGCAGGCTCCTGACACTTTAGGGAAGGACCTTCTGGATTATGATTCTGCCCAGGATTTGGATTTTAAAGATTTGTTTAAATATACTCTTTCCTTTTTTTCTTAAACAACTTTCCTTGAGATAATTCACATACTATCGCTTCTCGGCCTTTTGGCTAAGATCAAGTGGAGATAATTCACATACTATAAATTTACCCTTTTAAAGTATATGATTCAATGGTTTTTAGTATATTCAGAGTTTTTGAACCATCGTTGCCATCTAACTTTTTTTAGATTTTTTAAAGTTTATTTCTTTATTTTGAGAGAGATAGAGAGAAAGCAAGAGTGGGGGAGGGGCAAAGATGGAGAAAGAGAATCCCAAGCATTGTCAATGCAGAACCTGATGCAGGGCTGGAATTCATAAACTGCGAGGTCATGACCTGAGCCCAAACCAAGAGACGGACACTTAACCATCTGAGCTATCCAGGTGCCTCTGCAGTCTAACTTTAAAGCATTTTCATTGCCTCATAAATATACCTTTATAACATAGATTAAAATAAACAAAAAATGTGGTTTGGTAATAAAAGTATGCCTTTTTGAATACAGAGAACCACTTGACACCACAGATGAGACAATAGATTGTTGGTCCCTAAAGAAAAGAGAAGCAACTCTTAGACAATAATGCTCCTTTTGTTCTGTGCTCCTTTCTGTTTTATTATAGTGTTGTCTGTACTGATACACCACTCTGGGATTACCTTATTCCATAAGCACAAGCTCTAACTATTGGAGAGTGTATAAAACACCTAATCAATACTTTTGGATGATGACATTAGACTTCTTATTCTTTAGGACTACAAATTATTGATGGTTCTGGATGACTATTTACAACCACAGGCACTGTGGTAACAAGCTGTGAATACAACTGTAAGGCACGATCATGGGGTTATCAGCCTCCTCATATGCATGTGAAGCTTCATACCCCAGCTCTCATTGGGCACAAAATTGAAGGAGTGTAACTTAGTCCTTTGCTGCTCAAACCAGAATCTGCCAAGCAGAAGCATAGCATCACCTGAGAGCCTGCTGGAGATGCAGACTCCCAGGCCCACTACCTAACTGCATCTAAATAAGAACCCCAGAAGACTATGTGCCATGTACATATGGAGCTCTGCAGGGCCTCCAGGGAGTGAGATCCGACTTGGTGCCAATGATGTCCCTTCCCCACTATAGTATTTTAATACCATTTCTAACCCAGAAAACAACTCACAGCCACTTGTGATCACAAAGGCAACATTATTAATAATGCCAACAAGGATGATTACAAGTTAGAATTCACATGGAAAAAATATAGAAGAATATACACTGACCATGGTTATCTTTGGGGAAGTTTTCACTCTATTTAACATATTTCTATCACATTTGGATTTTTAAAATTTTTATTTTAGTTTGACTGATGAGCCTACATTACTTTTATAATCAGGAAAACTTAAAAAAAAACACTATTCACAAAATTCAACATAAATTAAATTCATAAGTAAAACAAATAGTCAATGCTTCATTGGTAAAATAGTTATGTTCTTTTCCTCTCTCTGCCAACATCTTCCCTAACCCCTGGACTCTTGCCCACTCTTGCTACCTGCCTCTGTTTACTACCTCCTGAGGCTTCATATGGCCTTCAGAGAAGCAAATGTCATTTTTACATAGTGGGAGCACTGAAGTAGAAACACCTACCTGATCTTTCTCTTTTGCTGTTGCACATTTCCTCAGCAGAAGACCACATCTATCACTGGTAAGACCTTGCTAAGGGAACAAGTGGATTCTTGGAAGATGATGTCTTCAAAAGGCAAAGTGGTAGCCACATGCTTCCTTAGAAAGGGAAACTAGTGCTCTCAGATCTTATACTGATACAGAAGATGAACAGGGGTAACTAATCCTAAGATATGAAAAATGTCAGAGTGGCATGGGAAATAAGCTAGTCCATCAAAGTCAGGCAGACTTGTCTCTAACTGCCTTTGATTTATAGATTGGAATAAGCACTAGAAAATAACATCATCATCATAACACTCTAGAAAAACAGATTTTTGTCAGGAAAGAACTTCTTTGGTAAAGCTTTGCAATACTCAGAGTACAGGCTACACTGATTTGTGGACTCAAAGGCATGGCCATGCAGGATGAGTGAGGGAAGAGGAGAACAAAGGTCTCTGTTTTAAAAGGGCCCAATTCCCTCTGCTCTGACCTTGATCCCCAAACCATGTTTTGAGCCATATCCCAAACAACTTTTGCCTTCCAAGTTGAGAATCTGCTCAGTAGTGGGTAAGTGATTCTGATCTGTTTTGTAGTTCTACTTCCCACTGTGAAATTTAATGAATTTTAGAGTTATAAATTATTATATGTCACAATAACTTCTAGAGTTATAAATTAGCTGTTAGTGAGTTCAACATTCAACTTTAAGTGGATACATTTCCAATCTGGGCTGGGGGCCAAAATAGGGCAGTTCCTACCTGTTCCCTTCTTTACCAAATGTGGGTTGCAACATTTATTGGTGCTGACCTTGGGCAAGTTTCTCTATGCCTCACTTTTGTCACCTTTAAAGTGGGAAAATGATAAGAGTACCACCTCAAAGGGCTTCTGGAAATACTAAGTGATATGCTTAGAAGAGTGTTTGGCTGACATACAGTAAATGTCATCATTGCCATCATTATTATTATTATCATTGGGACCAGATTAAGTTTCAAGGTTGCAGTATGGGCTTCAATCTCTATTACCACTGAATGTTTCCAAATACATGCTTATTTCAAAGACATCTAAATTCCAGGTCTTGCTCATCACTCACCATCTGACTCTCTTAGGCTAAGTTAATAGCAGATTACTAAATATCAGTGTTCACCAGGTCAGCCTTATCTGAACAACTGGGGAACCACCACTGGGAATCATGGCCATTCTCACTGGCAGACACAGAACAAAGGCTCTGAGACCTCGAACATGTCTCTATGTACATCACCAGCACACACATAGGGTGTGAGCTTTTTCTCCACATTTCTAGAAGTCTGTGGACATCTTCAAACAAGGAGGGTGTCCTCTGTCAGTTCAGATCCACTTTGAGATCTACCAAATAGTGAGGCAGCAGATAACCCTACCCTCTTGGCCTGGAGCTAATCTTCAAGCTTCCACTCCTACTTTTCTCCTGGTTTCTGGGCAGAGCCAGCTTTCAGCTACAGCACCTCAAATGAGAGACCCTCATCAAAAACCAGACTCCAGAAGCTGGGTGGGTTTGTGGGTTTTTCTCTAGGAAGAAGAATAACCAGGTGTTGGAAAACCATTTGTGATTCATTGCAAAGTTAAAAAAGAAGAAGGAGGAGGAGGAGGGGAGGGGGGGGAGGAAGAGGAAGTTGCTGAGTAGCATATAAAGGATCACACTGGAAGGAAGGAAGGAAGGAGGGAAGGAAGGAAGGAAGGAAGGAAGGAAGGAAGGAAGGAAGGAAGGAAGGAAGGAAGGAAGGAAGGAAGGAAAGATGGAAAGAGAGGCAAAAGAGAAGGGGGAGTGAGGGAGGGGAGGAAGGAGCCAGGACAGGAGACCATTCAATGATTGGACTAAGGAGACCACAGCCACTAAAACCAAGGCCTGGGTAACAGTGCCAGTCCATGTTGTAAAACAATGAAGATCTCTCAGAGAGGTAAAAAAAAAAAAATTCCATTAATTTTTCACTATACATTTTTGTATTGATGGTTGTGTTACTTGCAATTTAAAAAACGAAGAAAATGACAAATGAGACATCATGCTAAAGCACATATGCCAGCTGGATTTGCTTTCTAGGGGGCAGTCATGATCCTTTCCACCTTGGTCTTCCACCTTAGTAGCTAAAGATGATCAATGCCTACTGTGCACCTAACAAGGCATGGGTACTGTATGAGTTCTATCTCCTTTCCACAACTGCCTGAAATAAGTGTGTGGTTTCTATTCCACAGATAGAGAGGGCAAGGAGGGCCCGACACTTGCTGACCAGTTATGTGCCAGACACTGAATGGAGTGTATCAACTTCACTGTCTGGTTCATCCTCATCACAGCCCCCCTGGTGTCCAGGCTTTGTAACGTGTCTTAGGGTAACATCTGGCTTGTGTGTGGTGGGGGGTAACCAGATTCCAAGGCAGAATGCATCACAGCTTCTCTCATTGGTAGGACCTTCTCCCCTGTTCTGTCCCTGCTCCTCCTGACTCTGAACCACTGAGGACCAAAATGTATATTCACATCAGATTCTCAGCACAGTGCCTCACACATCAGGCACTTGCAAAATGTTTATGAAATGAATGAGTTAATTCACAAACAACTATATGAAGAGGAACACTTCCTTTTAGCTTCTTGTCCCTCACTATATCATTATTCCTTTGTTTAAGATAAGCCTTACACTTATAAGTGTGAAATAAATGTTTGGTGAATTAATGAGTGAATAAAAAATGACCACATATTAATATCAGAATAACTGAGGACAATGAAAAAATATCAACCATCTGAATAGGAGAGGTATGGGCTGGTGTAGACATCTCTAATTGGTAAAACCCACAGTAAGAATCCAGGAACTGTGAGGGATTCCCATGTCACTGAATACTTAGAAAATAGGTATAGATTTTAGTACAAAGAGTTTTGAATGCTCCTTATAATTATGCACCCTTGATCATCTAGAAGAAAGTAACCTACTATGAATAAGGATAAAAACCTCATAAACTGTTGGCAGAAGTACTGAATTTGGTTGGTATTCATTACAATTTGTAATTTGTAAACACTTCCACGTAGCAATTCTACTTCTAAGAATTTATCCTACACTCTCTTCTCAAACACAAAGTCATTCCCCTCTCTTCATGAAAGTAGCTGATAACTCCCTAATAACCCAAAAAAATAGTTACTCCTTAGTGTATTCCAGTACTACCATCTACCTACCACAAAGCCCTTGCTGCTTTTTCGGAACTACAAAGCTTACTAATTTAGGAACTCCAGTACTATTTTTAAAATGTTCTAGTAGCAATTAGCAGCTGTGAGCTCCCTCTGCTCAATTTTCTTTGAGACCACTTAACATCACTAGGAGCCAAATGGGGTGGTTGGGGGGAGAAGAGAATATAATAAACATTATGCAGGAAAGAAAAGATCAGCATTATGCATTTTCTCATTCAATGTGGATTCTCCTGAGGCATTTTTATTAATCAAGGGGTACAGAACTTAAAATTTTCTGGGTTGTTCCTATGTGTGTTTTATTGGTTTCTCATATACTATTTTACCAATACTTACTTTACAAAGGTAACTCTTTTTTGACAGTTTTGATGAGTAAATATAACATGCTATAGCATTTTTTTTTTACTAGTGCAGAATTGTTTGCGGAGAGAAAACCTGATACAGATTCACAGGGAAATAGATATACAGTAATGAGATCTCACAGTTAAATGAGTTGTGGACATAGTCATCATCTGACTATGAAAGGTAGGTGTCCTTTTATGCATTTTTTAGTAATTATCTTAATGGTTAATTTCCTATGACATGAAAGTAATTTAAAATATATTGGGGGGAAAAAGACTGTTTTTACAGTCAATTTTGAACTTGAAATCACACTTAAGCAACAACCTCAAAACAGACAGAAATGTGTTCTGGCTTGTTCCAGGAGGGAGGAACTTCGGATGCCTATGGGGAGGTTTGGCTCTCTCCAACAGGCAGGCTTGTTTTTGCAAGGTTCCTAGGTCTACTCCATCCTATTAAGTATATGTATCTCCAATGCTAAGGAACCAGTGTTTTCACTTAAACACACTGAGAACATCACATGGAAGCGGAACAAGGCCCCTCTCTGGAAGCCAATAGCCTGTTCACCCTTCTACCACTAAAGACCATTTTGAGACAGATGAACTAAAAATAAAGTCAGTAGCTAACAGTGAATCAATACATATTGAACAAGCTGCAGAGATATGTGTAAGAAGAAAGTCAACACAAGAAGGGAATAATCTACCAGAGATAAAATTATCACTTATTTTTCTCAGGTTTCTGAACATTTATTAACAATAACTAGAAAATAAAAATGATAAAAGATTATAGATAAGTTACATGGCTGCTAAATGTGACTTTTAGCCATATTCTTTTGATAATAATAATATTCCAGCAAGCATGCAGAATTAAAATGAAGATCAGAGGTAAGTTGGAAACTATGTGGCCCCATACCACTCTATCAGTCATTGGTTAAGGGGTTGAGCACAAGTATGAGGGCCCAGCAAGGACCCTGAACAAAAGTGGTGGCTATGTCCAGATCACATTTTGTATAAACTGAGTCGACACCTGGACTCAATCATGCTTGAGAAGACTCAAGTTGATCTTTTAGGAAATAAACTCACCTTTGGTGAAAACAGCCCAAAATGTCCATCAACAGATGAAAAGTAAAACAATATATATACACATACATACATACATATATATACACACACACATATGTATGTACCATATACACACACACACACATATATGTATGTGTGTGTGTGTATATATATATATAGCCTTAAAGAGGAAAAAAATTCTGACACATATTACCACATGAATCAACATTATGATCAGTGAAATAAGCCAGACAGAAAAGGACAAACACTGCATGCAAGACTCCACTCACTGAGGTACCTAATGCAGTCGAATTCACATAGACAGAAAGTAGAATGGTTTTCTAGGGGTTGAGGGCAGGAAAAATAGTGCTTAATGGGCAGAGTTTCAGTTTGGGAAGATGAAAAGAGTTCTGGAGATGGTTGGTTGCAGAGCAATGTGAATGTATTTAATGCCACCTGAAGTCTACACTTAAAAATGGTATAAATGGGGCACCTGGGTGGTTCAGTTGGTGAAGCATCCGACTTCGGCTCAGGTCATGATCTCACAGTTTGTGGGCTCGAGCTCCACATTGGGCTCTGTGCTGACAGCTAGCTCAGAGCCTGGAGCCTGCTTCAGATTCTGTATCTCCCTCTCTCTCCGACCCTCCCCTGCTCATGCTGTCTCTCTCTCTCTCTCAGAAATAAATAAAATATTTTAAAAAATTTTAATGGCATAAATGGCACATTTTATATTATGCATATGTTATCACAATAAGAAAAGATAACTCACCTTTGAAGTTGCCGATGTATAGGCCAGGCAGGATCTAGCGGGGAGACATAGATCAAATGTGAGTGTTACAGACTTGAAGTACACAGAGGCTGGGCCCTCACCATAGCAATGGGAGCACAGCCCAGGCCTGTTGCCTGCCATATCCACTTCCCGGCACCTTCCTAGATGGACAGCACAAATGACCCTGTATCCTTGTTTCCAGGGCTCTGGCCCTGCCCACAGTCACTAGGAAGCATTCACAAATAGCTTATGACTGCCCACATGTTGGTGCTCATCAGCTCATGGGACTTTAAAGACCAGAATCGCACTACAGATCCTCACAGATAGCCATGTGTTTTTGCTCACTTAAGCCCTTCAGTTCTCCTTGGCATTCTGAGAGTCCAGCCTCAAACCCAAGGGCCCCCAGCCCTCTACCACTCCTCCCTACCCTTCCCCCTCTACTCTTCCTTTTCTCATAACACCGTAAACATCCCCTGCATAGTTCCAGCAAACCTCCCTTTGCTGAGGTCTTGGTGCATGCTCTTTCCAAATCTAGAAGCTATACTCCTACTCTCTTCATCCTTCAGGTCTCAGCGCTGATTCATACCCTGGGGAGGCCTGTCCTGAGCCCAGAGTCTGGCATAGGCCCCAGTTTCAGCACCCATAGTCCTTCCTCAGTACTTCTCTTGTAGTGATGATGTCACAGGGGTAGTGTTAGGTGAAGGTCTGTCTCCTCTGCTAGGCTAAAAAGCTATTTGGACAGCAAACATCCTCTCACTCGCTGCTGTATATCCAGCTCCTGACCCAGGGCTCGGTCAATGGTTTCTATTCAACAAAGAATTACTAAATGTATGAATCAACTGTTCAAATGTACACGTTAATAAGAACCTACATTTGCTCCAAAATATCTACTTCTCCTAAGGCAGTGGTTCTCAAACAAGACAATCCATCAGAATCAACAGAAGCTGTTAAAAATTCAGATTTATGAATAAGCCCTAGCCCCAGCCTCCATATAGAATAATTCAGTAAATCTGAGATATGAACCAGGGACAGGGATTTTCACATGCAAATCCCCACTTTGTAAAATACAAAGCTAATTCTTGTCTGGAATTACTTTGTATGAAGAGGCTGAAATCCAAATATAGACACTGCTTTTGGATGCTGACATGATTTTCAAGTGCATACAGAATACTGGCCACTGCAGACCCTTGGTGCCCTGGTGACACTCTCCTGTCAGTACTACTACCACCCCATACCCTGCTCAGCCCCATTTGCTTCACACTCCCTATTTTTATCCACTCCCATCAAGAAAGCTGAAAGCAGCATGTAGTAACATTCTTCACATGCATAGGCTTCTTTGAGCATTTTCCTGACAACCAGCTGCCTTGCTAAAAATTGATGGCATCTGTGCAAGTCACTGCAGGGGGAAGGTACTGTGGCACTGTCAAGGCAGCCTGCTGGAACACAACAATACAGGTCTAGGGTTAGCTTCTGTGCTGGGGTAGAGAAGTTGCCAAGCTGAGGAACCACAGAACATAGCTACCAAATAGGGATACTTGTATTTCTGTTTGCACTTTTCTATATGGTTTGGATGGTCTAACTGCATGAAAGAATAATTTCAATTTACTTTTCTTTTTTTGTTTATTTTTAGAGAGAATGAGAGCACATGTGCACATGTGTAGAGGAGGATCAGAGAGAGGGGGAGATAGAGAATCCCAAGTATGGGTCTCCATCCCATGAACCATGAGATCATGACCTGAGCCGAAATCAAGAGTTGGACACTTAACTGACTGAACCACCCAGTGCCCCAACTTTTTTTCTTTTCAAGTCAAGAGGGGTTATTTGGGTAAAAGCTTATGGCCCAGTTTTTCTTTTTCTTTTTTTTCTGTACTTCTACTATTTTCTCTACTAAAATAAACTAATACATTTCATATTATTTTTTAAATAAAATAAAGCAAGGACATGAGATCACCTCTCTTCCTTGCTCTAAGAGCCATGGTTTTATGATTGCTTTTTTTTTTTTTTTTTTTAGTTTATTTATTTTGAGAAAGAGAGCACAAGTAGAAGAGTGCAGAGAGAAAGAGAGAGGCAAAGAAAGAATCCCAAGCTGGCTCTGCACTGTCAGCGCAGAACCCAATGTGGGGATTGAAACCACAAACTGCAAGATCATGCCCTGAGCCAGCCAAAATCAAGAGTCGGATGCTTAACCGACTGGGTCACCCAAGTGCCCCCATGTTATGATTCCTAAATCCGTCCCTTTGAAGCCAGCTCCAGTCTGGTTTCCACTCCCCCTGCAAGCCTATCTAAAACTGAACATTATCTTCCTGCCCACATGATCAATTCAAGTCTCTTGATGATGTCACCTTTTCCTAGTCACCAAGAGTGAAAACCTAGAGGCTATTCCCACTACAGTACCTCCCTTTCCCTTCCTTAGTGCCTCTCTCTCCCCAGTGACTTACAAAGTCCCAGAAGAGTCTTGGCTCCTTGGCCCAAAGACCCCACCCCAGACCAGAGCCTCAGTTCATAAATAGGCTAGAGCAGTATCCATTGAACTAACTTCTCTGTCCCATCAAATTAATTTTTAAATGTCATATTCCCACTGGGTCATTTTCTAGATAACGTTTAGTAGCAAAACATTTCTTTTCTAGAAAAAGAAAGCCAAAACTGAATTTAAACTGAAAATTTCAACTTGGCTTCCACAGGATGGTTCCAACTTACCCCTGAAGGATTTTCCCTATTTCTCAGTAATATGTAGCCAAGTCAAGTAACCCCCATTTTCCTATTATGCCTTACTGGTCCTACCCCGCAATATCACATTTCTTTGTTCTCAATATTCTCTTTAAACAGAGAAATAGTCCCTATTTCGGGTCCCTCATTCCCTTTCGCTATAGTAAAAAACTATAAACACTGTAATGGACGATTATTTTATTTTATTGGTTTCTTAGCCATGGAAGCCTTTTCTTATGTTTGAGGAATCCACCCCCCCCCACCCACACTTTAGAGTGGTGGGAAGCACAGCCTAGCTTTTACTACAGAAACTGCAAATACCAGATATCTGCTTGTATTTGCCTTTGCTGCTATGACATGGAAATGTGAGCTAAGTGCAAGAGGTCTCCACAGCTGCTCCAGACTGGAAACCAGAGATAATCCAGGGCATTCTCTCCTACAACAGGGGCAACAAGGCTGGTACCGCATCTGGAGCCCAACAATAGCAGCAGCAGTATGTTGGGGTAGCCTCAGAAATGCTCTCCCCAGACAAGTTTTAGGATCTGCTTCTGGTAGGGTAGCCTCAATTTGGTTCTCCGGTCTTCCTGGCCATCCTACCTATTATACCCAAAGCAACCACATGTGTCTTTGTTGCTTACAATCACAGCCCCTGATGTAGGCCTTTCAATCCAGACAAAATGCATAAATGCAAATGAGCTGCACAGACCTTTAGGCAAGTCACAGACTAGCAAAGTTCTACCCACCCTGTAAATAGCAGCACCATTGGCACTCCCACAATCAGTTAGAGGTCACTCTGACAGGAGATTCCTCCCTCCTCTGGACTCTATTAGCACCTCATTAAGATTTACTTCTACTCCTCAATAGCTCCCCAATTTATTTGCTACTCTTGAAACTTCTGGTTAGTACATTTTTTCAGCTTCCTAGCGCCTCCCCTTTAACTTATTGTAACAGCCACCTAAAGATCTCCCTACCTCTGGACTTATCCCTCCAAAGGAATCCTCAACCTCCCTCCAAGGCACAAAGTTGAGTATGAAACTCTTCAGATTAAAACCTTCTCAGGGTTCCAAGTAGCTATCACCATGAAATCTAAATCTGGCACTTCATCAAAAGAGACCTTCAAGGACTGAGGTTGCTATGCCTTCAGCCACAGCCTCATGCCTGCTCTTTACCCAAACTTCCCCATAGCTGAAGAGGTGACCACACAAAGATGCAGAGCAGAACCCCCAATTCCAGCATCCAGGCTTTAAGGAAAAAAGCCCAATTTTCAACTGCTATCAACTACATTAAAAAAAAACAACAACAACACCTTAAATATTGTGAGGAAGAAATAAAACGCATATAGCCCATGAACATCTAGTTGATGACCTCTATCTGTGGCCTGCATCATATTTGTGAATATGTTTTCTCTAAACTTCAACGATTCTCTCTTAACTGGTAGGTACTCAAGAAAATGTTTCTTCCATGAATAAATGAACAAAAAGACAACGTGAATAGAGTGGGAGAAGGCAAATCAAGAAAAGGTGAGAGATGAAAAACAATGGTGAGTAAAGCCTGAGAAATCAAACTTTATACCTTTCTGTCCTGGACAGGTTTCCACAGAGATTGTGGTGACCACACCAGTAGCATAGGGGCCAGTGTTGGAGGCCTTTGGGATGCCAAGGCTTAGCTGGCAGACAAAGGCTTAAAGTTACTAAAATCAAACAGCTAACTTACTAAAAATAATTTAAGATGCACATTTTTGCAAGCATTTAAACTTTTTATTCCATTTTTCAAGTTTTTACTTAAATTTCAGTTAACATACAGTGTAATACTAGTTTCAGGTATAGAATTTAGTGATTCATCACTTACATACAACTCCTGGTGCTCATCACAATAAGTGCTGTCCTTAATACCCATCCCCCTGCCCACCTCCCCTCCAGCAACCCTCAGTTAGTTCACTAGAGTTAAGAGTCTGTTTGCTGATCTGCCTCTCTTCCTATCCCCCTCCATGTTCATCTGTTTTGTTTCTTAAATTCCACATATGCAAAGAGGTGACAGAGATAAGTCAGTAAACTTTTAACTCCATTTTCAAGACCAGGAGAGTAAACTAATGTTTCAAGGGCTCGAAATAGAAAGTGAATAGCTCAATCCATTTCTGTAGTTTCTTCCATATAGAATTACAAAACAAGATAAAGGAAGGCTGCAGAACTGGCCATTGGCAGAGAGAGAAATTACATTTTTGTTTTCAAGAAGAATAAAAACCCCATCAATATTTAAAATTTTACTCCAGTCAGCTTCATAATTCAAACTTGAAACTTAAAACATTTGACTCATCCACTTCCCTGATAT